ACTGCACACAAACACGCACCATTGCATATATTCTCGCTTGTGTTATGTGCAGTCGTGGAAAGGTTCGGAGGGCTGGCGCTGACCACCAGCAAGCAGTGGGGTCGGAATATATGCCTAGCTTTCTCTCTCTCTCTCGCGCGCGATTGCAGGATCATTTGGGGAAATTAATTCCAAGGATAGAGAAGCTGCCGTCGCCGCCCCCCTCTGCTTGCATAATAAAAACTATATACAGGTAGAAGCCCTGGACACAAGCTACGCACAAATCGAGGTTTATGTACGCTGCACACTCGCATGATCATTGATGCAGCGGCCGATCGTCGTCGCGATGCCCCTGCTGTCGCTGCGCGTGCTCGAGTTTCGTATATACGTACATGTACGTATATTCGAGCTGTTTCGTTGTTCATCGCACGTGTATATATGTACACAACATATAATGTAAATTCGTGTGCCGTATGTAGTTGTGTACGGCGCGACGACGATCGTTCGTTGCGCGATTCTATTTAAATTTTCGTACGTGTCAAATTCAACGCGCCTCTGCTGTTGCTGCTGCTGCAAAGCTCTCGAACTCGCTTCGCGGCCAGCACGATGACGCGGCTACTTCAGTGCAGCGCGGCGCGAGCTCCTCGTGCTTCTCATAACTGGAAATCGTCGCTCGTTCCAAAAAGCCGCACACATCAGCAACAGCAGCGGCAGCAGCAGCGATGGCATGCGACGACGTAGCGTCAAAATCAGCAATTTAAAAGAGCTGCAGTGGGACAGCGAGGGAGAGAGAGAAATGCCGCGGTATTAAACTCGAGACTCCAACGTGACTAAATTACACTCGATTTCGTCGAGCCCGCGACGCGTCCGCGTCCGACGTTACCCTCAAGAGTTGCACTCTGATCCTGCGTGAGTGTGCGTAGGTATATATTTTTAAAGCTCGTTACCACTGTGGATCGTCGAGCTTCATATAGGACCTACGCGTGGCTGATCGCTCGGAATAGCCTTCGGTTATTTAGTTGCTTTAGTTATCTCTTGGAAAAAGAATAATTGCTTTATCGTTAAGAACGAGAGGGAGAGAGAGAAAGCTCCAAAAGCGAGAGTGAGCTGCGCGGGAGAAAGGGCGGTGGAAAAAATAATCGATACGACCCTACTGGGAGTTGTTACGATTCGAAAGAGTGCGGAGTACGAGGCAATTTAATTAACGCCAAGTATGAGGGTCAAAAATTGTTTATTTTTTTTTTCTTTTTTTTTGGCGCTAATGCAGAATCTCGTCGCAAATTCAACAGTACATACGCACTCATATTTGCAGGTCAAACAAAAGAAATGATTCATGGTCCAGTTCTCGGGCGGCTTACACAGTTACGAAGATTAATGACCGATGTATAATATAAAAGCTCGATGCGAGATATACTTTTCCGCGAACTCGACGTTCGAATAGCCAGTTGGTCGTGGCTCCATGCGGATGTCGCTTATACAATAAACCGTAAAAAGCTCGCGCGCACCAGCATGCATAAAGGGACTACACACGAACATCGAGAAGCACTTCTTAATGTGCGAGCTATTGTTGTGAATTTGGTAGTGGTATATTTTGAGGTGAGCACGAGCTCTTTGATATATACACAACACATTCGAGAATATACATGGACGTCGCAGCTCGTTCTCGAATCTCGTGACGCGCTTCGACAACACGATACCGCACACCATACCGTACAGTTCCCCTCTTGGAACTACTCGCATAGCTGTCGCGCCTATCGGTTTAGTAATAACAGCTGTACACTCGTTATGTGCGTACAGCGTATATAGGTATACGTAAGAAAGCTCGTGCGAGCGAGCTTCGTATCCGTGCGAGGGCCGTACAACCCTCGCCCGGCGCTGACCCGTGTTGTATACGTCGAGCTCGAGCGAAATTTCGACCATAGCCCGATTTCGTGCTTAGCTTGTACAGATCAATGCGCTCCGGATACGTATAGTGCGTCTTGCGCACACGAGCAGCGGTATAGTGCTTTGTGTTGCTGCTGCTGCTGCTGCTGCTGCGCGGCCCGTTGACCGTGTTTATGTATCAGGTGATGTCGTTATTACGACGCATCATGCTCTGTACACCTCTCGCTTGTTCTATCGATTTTAGACTTTTCCACATTCGAATCGAGAATTTTAGATCTTCGACGGCGAAAGTTAGAAATGCAAACTCTCTGTTATATAGACGCGTGCGGTAAAAAGAGCCGATTGCGAGCCACGCAGTGAGAGCCGTACATTGTATAGGTATAGTAGGAGCTAGCTGCCTCAATCGATAAGGGATTGAATGACGAAGGGTGGCGTGTGGAATATGCTCTCTGTGGCGCTTGCTCGCCTCCAGTACACTACATACATACTTGCGATCGACGAACTACGCCCAACTATTTCCTATATCTACACGCATACACACGTATATTCACCTTCACGACTATAGAGCGCTCAACGACTCCTTGTTTCGCAACGACACATCCACAACATTTTAGTGTTATGTGCGATGTATCGATGATACATTTTGTATATAACAATTCCTGCCTCGTGTGTTGTGTTCGCCTTTCTCGCCCGCGCGCGCCCCCGAAATGCTTCCAAAAGTTCAGGCCGTTCTTGCCAATAGGGAACCAGAGAATCATGCATCTTGTAATTAGGTTACGATGAATTTTGTTTTTCAAGTACAATATCGATTTTCGAACTGCTGCTGGCCGCTATTCTCTCGCCGCCGCAGCGATCCAAAGCTCGGGGGGTTTTCAATTGCTTATGTGAGTGTATGTGCTTTAGAAACTGGCGCAGCACGAATAGACCACATTGTCGTATTGTCAGGGTCTAGAAAAAACAAACATTCTTCCAGGCCAACCGAGTCACGGCACTCGAGTCCAGCGGAAGAGAGAAAAAAAATCGTATTAAATTTCGCCCCCTGCTATATCGATAAGGCTCGTTTCCCTGGATATATTGCATGAATATGTATGTAATACGTCGAAGAGTATCGCCGCCGAGTCAAACGCTTATATCATATTGTACGCATCGAGAGGCCTTACGGCTCTCGACTGTGCGTGCGTGCGCCTACGCAGATAGCCCGCTGCTGCAGAGGCCACGGCATATCCTGAAATTCTGATTTAGCCTGAGGGTTGACCCTTCGACGAGCCATTGTGAAACGTTATACAGTGCGTAACTAAAGAGCAATTTACAGCGCGGCCAGTCATCGACTGCTATGCGTAAATCTCATGCATATACGCGGGATTAACTATTGGTTTGAAATTACGCTTGTAACATTTATTGGAAATTCTTATCCCCCTGCTTAGATAACGCGCACGATGACTCTCTACTTAGAAAATGACACTGAAAAAAACATATTTAGGTGAAATTTGAAGTTTGTAGATAACGATCTAGTATAATACGACTTCAAACTTTACTACAATTGTAAAGATCTATGATTTTTTTATAATATTAAAAATAGTAATCATCGGGACAGTTGACTCAAAATTTGATGGACATATCTATTGCGTATTTAATCGCAATTGAATTACTGTCATCGACAGTGACTGTATAGCGTTTGTGCATCGAACAGTAGCGCTGCAACTGTTATTATTGTTCTCGCGCGCCGAGACACCTGGAAGATTATACACCTCGAGTGGGTTCGATTGCCTCAGTGGCTCTCAATCTACTCGCGCGAACCTCAAACAGACACACTATTCGGAACGACCCGGCACAGCTTCCACTTTCTAATGTAGCTGTAATTCCGCCGATGAATTATATACAATGAAATACAAGTATAGCGTGACTCCGTATACGGCGTATAAACTTGACTTAACGTTAAACTTGGTTAAAAGTAATTTGACTCGCTCGTGACAGTGGCGGCGGCGGCGGGTGCGACGTGTTTGGCTCGAAAGAGACGCTGCAGCAGCAGCAGGTTGATGGACTGCGTGCGATTGCCTCGAGTTGCTAGCTGCAGCTATATCTTGTTCCGAGTGCAATAATTTTAAAATAGATCGCAATTTAATGTGACTCGAGTTTTTGAACTGTCCACGCGCAACAGCACAGTTATTAAAACTTGACTTCTTTGCTGACGATTACAATTTTTTGGAATCCATTTGGATTTAGTTACGCATTGATACTCGAAACTATGCACTGCAACAAATATATTTACTCTTTTAATATAAGTTTTTATTAAGTTAACGATAAAATACAGTTTCATATTGTCAATTTTTTCTATTATAATGTTTAGTGTAATATAGTACAATAGATTATTTATAGTACGTATTACCCTACATTTACAATACATTTATCCTACAAACCTTTACTAACATTTACCGTTGCACGATTCTTTTAATATAATTTTTTAATATATCATATATTTAGTGTTGTGTAATTTACAATTTCAACTCTCTATGTGTAAGCACTGCAACCCATCATATAATATCATATGATTATAAATATTATATAATGCACTATTTCATTATCGTCTGTATATAGCCACTTTGAAATACGATCATTGAGAATGTTAAACGATCGCTGTAACATGTACATACGTAAAGAGATCATTCCCATTCATTCTCATAAACAGTACTGCATCAACAGTGGCAAAATTGACAATCGTCGATTGATCAAGTCTGATCATCGAACTTTATCGTCAATATAATCTGAACGTGACTGAGTTGTTTCAGTACTGTAAAAAGATCCGAAAAATCAATCTTTTTTTTTCTTATATTATCAATTTTTATCATTCATTGCATCATCATCGTTAGCTTCTTCATTATAATCGTCATCATCATCATCATCACCAGCAGCAATATCATTTCATTTGTAATATATCACATGGGTGTAAGTGTGCGTAACAAATTCATTATGTATATAGTCTGAAGTATGCGTAGCACACCTACATCTATCAGAATAGAGCACGCATTAGCTCCTCTAAATCCACGTAATCTCCAAATAGACACAGTATACAAAAAACAACAAAAAAACTTTTATGACCCATTAGTGAGAGTTTTGTGTTTTTGTCTGATTTTCTGCAGACTTTGGCCGCTGCGTCACTCGGCAGCGGGTCTCGACGATGAGCTCGAAGGCCCGTTAAAAGGCCGAACGAGACTGTCATTACTCTCCTTAGCATATAACTAGGAAGTATGAGGGAACTACCTGGAGGTGAGTCTGTATTTCTTAATTGTCTCTTCTATTTTTTTCGCTCATTTTGACAGCTACGACGATGGTAGCCCTCCCCAATTTCTTTATTTTTGATATTTTGGTCGCTCGTGACACCATGATCCTATAAACACGTACATCCTGTGTCTCATCAGATATTGATACGAGCGGAAGGTGTCACTTGCTACTCACTCAGTTGGTCTTTCAAAATTAACGATTATGTATGATCGTATCGAAAATAGTGTGATTATCTGTTTATGAGCAAATGTCACTATGATGATTTTCATCTCAGGCAGTCTCGTGAACTGTTTTAACTCGGTTTATGACTAATTTATTGAAGTCGTCGTGGTTTTTTAATCGTGTTCGATAGTGTCACTTTTTCAAGTTATTGGGTCATGAACTTTTTTCTTTTGTAGGAAGTTATGAATAAATTTCATCTAATTAGTCGACAAATATAATTAATGTCTATTTAAAGTTTCAATTCTATTAATTTAGTTTTTGTCAACTTTAGTGGTTAATAGCCCAACTATCTTATTTTAAATATATTTTAAACATCGGTAACATTTAATCAAGTCTTCAAAATAATTTATAATTTTTTAAATCAATAAAAGCATAAAGATGAGGCTTTTTTATTTTTCAATTTGTATAGTTTACCGAAATCTGGCTGATATTGTACGTATATTCTTCGCTTAACCGAGACGAGCTCTAGATTAATGAAATCGAAACTGCACAAACTTTATATTTAGCGGGTTCATAACGCGATAAAACGAGCGTATTTTACGAAACAGCCTACTCGCATCATTGAACGCCGAGTTTGAAGCTCAATTTTAAAAGTCGTAAAAGAGTTTGGAAATTGTTGTTTCGACTGAGTTTGCTCCTTCATTAAAATTACATTATTATTTTAATTGTTCCAAAGTGAAATTTTATCAACGAATTTTCGTTGCTTTACTTAAAAGCTCTTTTGAGATCGAAAAAACAACGGACGCATTTCTGTCGAGCTCTTTGAAAAAATATTTCAGCTAAAAAGGCGAAAATGTTTTTAAATATTTTTACCCTCTCTTCCATTTTCCCATCATTTCTTTTGACATTCCATTTATAGCGCGGTATGTTCTCGATATAGAATACTCGCAAAAAAAAGTTAAAAAAAAAACATAAACGCATGAATGTTAATATCGCATCGATAATTAGTCTTTGAGTAAACGTACAGCTAAATCATAATGCATAAGTACGGCAATTGCAGGAGCTCGGCAACGTGTATATCAGCCTCGAAGTTAAAAGAATGGAGCGAGCTAATGTATGCGCATCGTCGTGCGCAGTTCTGAACGTATACTCGAATATACTCATGTATAAAGCCTATATAGATATATGATTGCGTGTGTGCGCGGATACATAATGTGCAAGCCAACCTCGAAGGCCTCGAAAGACTTGCTGCTGCTGCTGCGTGAAAAAGTCGACTGCGCCGTTTTTTGCTCGTGCCTTTCAACTCATCCAAATTAATAAATTCACTGCATGATCGGCGCTCCGTACGCGTTGCGCTTGTGTGCAGGCGACTATAAAATTAACTACCTCTAGGAGAGCATTAGATGTTAGAAGCAACGGCGCGCGTCTCGGCGCTGAAAAATTACAAACTCATATATCTGTAATCATCGTGTACGGGCGATCGCGTCTCTCGCTTCTCATAGTGGATAAAAATGAAAAATGACACGGTAGTTTTTGCGGCTTTTAAATTGACGCGGCGAGGATCGGCAAGGCCGACTACGGCATGAAGGCAACAAAGTTTTGATGAAACTATGCGATACACTGGTACTAAAAGTATTTATGTGTTGTTCTTTTTAGCTGTGAATTATACACGTATACTTGTCGCAATAAAATTTTGGAAAACAGCCTGAATCCCCGAGCTCGATGTGGTTTTTTGTGCCCAACTTAACGAGATACAGCCCATAATTCGAACATTAGCAATTAACCTTACGTCTTTTAAGTGTTTTTAGATCTGCTTTTTAGTAGGCGATAAAAAACTATTAACTGGCCGCTTGTGTAAGCAAATTGCTTACGGTCTGAAATTATCTTGCAGAATCAAGATAGAGAGAACGAGAAAGAGAGAAAGAGAGAAGGGGAACTAAGAGAGAACTTTGAAAACTGTGTAGTCCTTAATTACTCAGTAATTCTAATCAGTTGTTATATTACATGATTAAAGCATTTTCAAACACACCCGGAAACGCCTTTTTTTATCATTTGCTTTTATATATTGTAAAAATAGGACAAAGTGGAAGTCGATTACAAGTAAAATACAATGACATTGTTTTTGTAACATTAGTAGACTCGATAAGACACCGTAAACAAGCGCGGACAATACATCCATCGGTCGAACTTTTTCTTCGATACTTTTATGCGCCGATCGCAATTTCTGCCAACAATTCGCCACGTAAAGAGATAAGAAATATAGCTTTTGAAAGCTCGAAAGTGAGATTCATCGGTATCGCGGCGTGAACGAACCGAGAGAGAAAGAGAGAGAAATAGAGAAGATTGCATATAATACATAGTCTTTTGGGTTATTTGCGCGCAGCGGTGGCTTCTACGTGCAGCGTTAAATAAGCCTTTATTCAGCAGCGAGGAAGCTAGACGAACGACGACGCGCACAGGTATTGTACGTGCACACACATACGCACACAGACTCGAGTTTTCTGTGTGGTGCGCGCGAGGAAGTAAACCACAAAAGTTAACGGTGCAACGATAAATCTTAACTGTAACAAGGCTGACGACGTTTTCTGGCTTGCTGCGTGTAAGCGCGCCAAGAATACAAGTTGCAGCTTGAACCCTCTACGTTGTCTCCTCGCGCGATATAAAATGCACACACTTTTTACATAAATATACACGAGTGCGCGCACGTGTAAATTTCGCATACATAGGTAAACGCGTGCAATCGCATGTGTCAGGTCGATCTCGTGTATATGCGCAAGCTCAACCTCCGTCTAGCTAGCTACTATACTACATCGGTCTCGCGCGCGAATCTAATCTCGGATTAAGCTGCGATGGAAATTGTCCCACTATAATACCCACGTACCTATATGTATAATAACTCTTGTCCGTTTCTTATTCTTTCTCATCCTCTTATTCTGCGAGCAGTAGTGGCATTAGCTTAAATACTCGTCTCTCTCTCTCTCTCGGTTTTGTTTTGCGTACGTTTTCTTGTAGTGCGCCTGATGTCGCGTTGTAGTTTATATACTGTATAATACAAAATTCTCTCTCCTTCGCCGTGCAGCGCGCGGGTCTTTTCCGCGTCGCGCAGCAATTATTTCGGCTTCGATGACGCTAATCCACGATGTCGGGATGGATTAATTAAGCCCCCGAGATTGCAGCAGCAGCAGCAGCAGCCGCGGCAGCGACCAAGCTTTATATACACATTATATAGCTGCGCTTGTAAGTATTATAGAAAGGAAGCCCAGAGCAAAACGAAAGGGAACTCGTTCTCTCGCTCGACTGTTTTCACGGCAGCTTGTAAGCGATGTATACAGTTCTCCGATTCATTTTTACTTATTCGGCTTTATACTTTGGCTGTTCTATTTTTATCTGGAAAGCACATGTAGCCGAGGAGAGACGATGCGCTTTCTCTTGCCTCGAAATCGCAACATCAGTTTAATACTGTAACACAAACTTAGATATGTGCGAGCCCGCGCGCGCGGTCGGGGCTGTGGCTATTCTAGATGTTTTGACCCAGGAGTGATTTCCCGACTATCAAACTTCTACAAATTGATTCCCCTCCCCCGACCATGTATAGTGCAGTCGCAGAGAGCTCCGTACTGCTGCTGCTGCTGCTCTTGCCGTACGTCCAGAAAGTTTGTGTTGCTGTACTTTATGTGCATGTGTGTATGTGTATGTATACAGACAGCGCAAGAGAGAAAATCGAATATCTCGGTCGGAGATGAATTTCAACGAGCGGCACAAAGTGACCCCTTGACACATAGCTCTACAACGTACCAACAATCATTCGATTTATAAATACAAACAAGATACGATAAAAAAGAAAAATAATGAAATTAATTGGAAAAAATTTATTTTGCATCCGCGTCGCAATAATAGTCGTGGCGGAATATAAAAAGCGGAGGGGAAGAAATGTATATATTACATTCGCAGGCAGGTCGAGGCACGGCACAGCGAAATACATATATATAGATCCTTTAGCGCCGCGCCAGAGTTTCTAGCGCTGGCGGCCGCTGCCAACACCCTTCTACAGAGCAGAGCACAGTAGTAGCAGTGGCGGCAGCAGCAGCAGCAGCAACTCCCCGAGAGGGGTAGTTTTATCGATTTTCCCTCCCACCGTGTGTATGCATATCTGTCTTGCTCTCTCTTCTGGCGCGTTGTATCTACCCTCTGGTGGCTAGTACCTACTGGATGCGCTTGTGTACACGTATAGTACGTACGGTATAGTTATACTCGTATGTACTGGACGGGAGATATATGCATTACCAGTACCGTGTTGCTGGATATGCATGCATATATAGATGTTCTCTGTCTCTCTCCTCCTATCTCTCCATGTACAAAGGTCTGCTCTCGAAGCCTCATTTTTTTCTCACTTTCACCGCGTGCATATACCTATTCGATATACATGCTATATATATTGTCGCTCGTCGCTCCGTATGTATGTATGTGCGAGTAGTTCGATCTTTCTTGTCGGCATTTCTATCTAGGCGCGTGGAACACACTGTCCACCTCCGCGCGCACAGCTGCCGCGATGATTTTATTCGACATTTTTTTACATCGCGCGTCCAATCCGATCATACGTCCGTTGCTGCTGTATTGCGCCGGGCCTGCACATTCGATATGTCTTCGTTCGTCCGTATGTCGTGTCTATTTTCTCGCTTGCTCGGTCTCTCTCTCTTTCTCTCGTACACTTCTGCTTGATCTACTATTCTAAACGCTCGTGAACCAAATTAAGTTCCATTGCGGGTATGTACGAAGAGTCTCCGAGTCGAGCCGAGAGAGAAGCGAGTAGAGGGGCAATTTTG